GGGGCTTAAACTCAGGGCTTGGTCACTGTCCTTCAGCCTATTTTGCTCAAGGCTGTCATTCTACCACTTGGGTCACAGATCCCTTTCAGGCATTTTGGTTGTTTATTAAAGATAAGAATCTCATGAACTTTTCTGCTTGGACTGGCTTCAAACCAGGATCCTCAGATCTCAGCCTCCTGAGTAGCTGAGATTACAGAGAAGAGATATCACCACCCAGCTTTGATCCCTTGATTTCTGTCCCTTAAGTAGCTAGGATTATAGGCTTAAGCCACCGTTTCTGGCTGAGCTACTTCTATTCTTAAAAGTGTCCTGTTCCTTTGCATATGCTTCCCCCTCTGCCTGGGCTATATCACAGTCTCTCTGTGTAGTCAATGCTCTTCACTTTTGGGGAAGACTTCTCTGTCTACCTCCAACCCAACCTGATCCTGGGTTCAGATCCATCTATATTTGCATGTTCTTACAGCAGCCTTGCTGCTGCTTCACCTTTGATGGATACTGGTTTAAATGTGTCTTCCTTGCTAGAGTGTATTACCATCTCTGTCTTTTGTTTCCTATTTTGGCAAAAGATCAGTAATACTTGTATCTGTCTCATAGGATAGTTTTAAGAGTCTAATAAGGTAATTTCTATAACCTGCTTTTAAAGGAGCCTGCCATGTGCTTAAGCAGTTATTATTTACAAAAAGATGATTGATTCTGAGATATAGAGGCCCAGTATTTTTCCTCTCAAATTAACAAATTACTCCCTGTGTGGCAAATCATAACACATCCTGGAGCCTCAGTTTCCCTATCTGTTCAATTGGGATCTGGAGACAAACACTTCTTTGTTATACAGGTGAATCTCTAACAACAGAGACCTGTCCACTTCCCCTCTGCTTAAACCCTACTTGCTCATTTGAACCAATGCTTTGGAACAAAACAGTTTTTGAAATGGCTGTTCATTTTTGCTTCAGTCCCACTTGAATTTCTGACTACAACTGAGAAAGATGCTGTGATAGCTAATTTTATGCATCAGCAAGACTAGCCTAAGGGATGCTCAGATTGCTGTCAGAACCTCACTTGCTGTTGGGCCTGTCTGGGAGGGTGTGTCTAGAGGGGAATTAGTGGTTGGAACAGATCTCTATCCTGACCCGTGCAAGTGACATTCTCAGCTCATCAATGTCCGGACAGAACTTTCAGGCCCAGGAAAATGTACCAGGGTACTTTCATTGGGAACAACCCCCTACACCCTGCTTTGTCCCATCCTTCTCCTGACTTTGGGTTCAGTGTTCCTGGTTCTCAGGTCTTCAAACTCACCAGCCCTGGTCCTCAAACCTCTTGGTTTGGACTAGAATTCTTCCTGGTCTGCCTTCCTGGGTGCCCAGCTTGCAGATACCTGAGTGTGGAACTTCACAGTCTCAGTAGTCACGTGAGTTGATCCCTCATAATAAATCTTGATTTGCTTTTTTTTTTTTTTTTTCAGAACCTGGACTAAATCTCTCTAGGCTTGGGTATTCTTGTAAAAAACGTTCAAGCCCCTGTATTGGCACACAGATGGCACCAGTGGAGAAAAGTGAGGTCTGTGTAGAGAGAGGTGAGGGAAAGGAGGAATCGCCAGCATTCTAGCTAGCATTCTTTCAGTCACCTGCCATGGGATCAGGCTTTTGTGTTTTTAATTTAAATTTAAAATTTTTGGTACCCAGGTCCTGGGGCTTGAACTCAGGGCCTAGGCTCTGTCCCGAAGCTTCTTTTTCTCAAGGGTAGTATTCTTCCACCTGAGCCACAGCTCCACTTCTGGCTTTTTTTTTTTTTTTTTTTTGGTAGTTTAGAGGAGATAAGAGTTGCACACACTTTTCTTCCCCTGGCTGGCTTTGAACTGCAATCCTCATACCTCAGCCTCCTGAGTAGCTAGAATTATAGCCATGACCCAGTGGTGTCTGGCCCCTGAGCTTTTTTTATTTTTATTTTGCTCAAGGCTAGTTCTCTATAACACAGCTCAACTTCTGGCTATTTGCTGGTTAACTGTAAGAGCCTCACAGACTTTTCTTCCTGGTCTGGCTTTGAACTGAAATAATCAGTTCTCAGCCTCCTGTGTAGTTTGGTTACAGGCATGATCCATCAGCACCTGGCTCGGATCTGAGTTGGAAACACATGCCAGTTCTGCAGCACCTCTATTTCCCCCTGGCTCACAGGCGGGCACCAGGGACCATCTACATCACAGCACTCAGCTCAGGCACCTCCTTCCAAGGCTCAGCCTGGAGCCTTTCCACTCCTCCTCCTGGTCCAGCCTTGGCGGAGAGGACTGATGGCTGATTTTCCTACACTTGATGCAGAACTGAACACCTGATTCTTCAAAGCCTCGTTGCTCAGTGTGGGACCCAGTGAAAAGCTTGAGTATTGGAGAGGTGGAAGATGCCTGATCTCTGGACTCCTGCATCCAACTGGGTTACATGCTTATCTCTGGTATTCACAGCTGGCTCCAAGGAAGTGTTTCCTGCTAACCAAACTCACAAGAGACTGAAACATGTGTATTAGAATTTTATATTTAAGCTGGGTGTATTTATGGCTTGAGAAGGATTATTCATCTCCAGTGACCAAAAATATTTGTACCTGTTACCCACAGAAATGGTTTTACGTTTTACATTGTAAAAAAAAAAACGTTATATGCCAGAGGTATTTAAATATCAGGAGTGGGCTTGCTATCAGTAGCCTGGCCAGAAGTAGAAGGATGGCTGAGTCCCAAGTGGGCCCAGCCGCAGTGGGTCTCAGGGAAGAAAGATTTACGAGGTGAGTGCCTGCCTGGGCTCCTTCTTCTGTCGGGAAAGGGCTCCCTGCAGTATTTTCTGTCTCGTCAACGCTGCATTTCATTTTAAATTGCAGCTGAAAGCAGATATTTTCCCTCTTGCCTATTACACCTCTTAATTTGTCTCTCCCTCTGCTGATATTTGTCTCTATAAAGTGTTTTGCATGAAAGACCCACACAGCACAGCGTGGCTTTGCTCTGGGTTAGATTTAACAGCAAGGGAAGACACAGGTTAAGTCTGAAAAGAAATGTGAGAGGCCTGGGGCGGGGACACACACGCCCGGCAGTGTGGACACGTGTACAGACGGACATCTGTGGTCCGAGTATGTGTGTGCACGTTGGTATTTGTACTAATGCATACATGTTGGTGTCCACACGTAAATTGTGTTTGTACGCACGTGTCTACCTGCCAGTCTGTCTCTGCGCACTAAAGCACACACATGGGCACCTGGGTCACCAGTGTGGCCTGATGTGTGGTCGGGGCTTCCCAGCTGGGTCTCCCCTCCCCCTCCCTTTCCTTGCTTCCCAGGGCCACAGCAGTCAGCATCTTTGGCAGCCCCACCCCGAGGGCCCTGGCTCTGGGGTTGTGGGAAAAGGAAGGCCGTCAGCGTGGCTTGAGGGGGCCACTGGAAACACGGCCTTAGGCGGACCTAACCGCGGCCACAGCTCTGACTTGGCTCCCGCCACCCCAGACACTGTCTCCTCGGAGGCCCCACGGCGGCCGAGCATCCCCAGGCAGATCCCAGGGTGCGGGCTGCCATCTTCCTGACCATCCCCGGCTGGCACGGAGGTGAGAGGGGCCACCCCACGACCGGCAGAGCCCTGCGGTCTAAACCCTGACTCGAGGCCTTTTCTGGGGGACCAAAACCCAGAGCGGCGCGGGCCGGGGAAAGGTGGGGGAGGTCTGGGTCTCTCCCCGTCCGGCGAATCTGGGCTGAGACCAATGGGCGCCTGTGGCCCAACGGGGATCCCTCCGAGGCAGCCAATGACCTCGCTCGGCTCTCCACCCCGCCCGCGCCAAGCCGGCGCAGCTGGACCATTGGTGTGAGTGGGATGGGGGAGTCGCGGCCGGCCCTCGCGGGGAGGGGGCGTGGCTTGGAGTCGGGCTGCCCTCCCCTCTCCACCCCCCTTCTCCTCGCGACTCCTCGCCCGCCCTCCCCTCCCCTGCCCCGCGCAGCCTCTGCACCCGCGGCCCCAGGACGCGCGGCCGTTGGCCTGGCTGCGGAGGCGCCGCGGCTGCCGCGGGTGGAGGGGCCGGACCGCGGGGCTCGCGGTGGGCGTGGCCGGAGGGCGTGGCCCGGCGGGAGGCGGGGCCGCGGGCGCTGTCGCAGTGAAAGCCGGAGCGGGCGGCGGCGGCGGCGGCGGCGGTGGAGGCGTCCGGGCGGGAGTGCGCGCGTGTGGGGCGCGGGCTCGACAGCGGCAGCGGCTTCTGAGGCGGCGGCGGCGGCTCAGCCTGCGGCGGCGGCGGCGGCCCGTCTGGAGCGCCGCTGCGAGGACGCCAGCTGCGGCGGGGGAGGCGCCGCCGGGGCCGCGCGCTCGGCGGAGCCGGCCGGGCCCGGAACAGGTGATCCCAGCGGGAGCCCCGAGCCCTCACCGAGTTGTCGGGGCCGGAGCCCGCGCGCCTGGGCGCAGCTGCAGCCGCCCAGCCGGGGCTGGTCCGGGACAGGCGCCGGGCTGTGGAGCTGGGTCCGGGCGTCCCTCGGCCGGAGCGGGCGGAGGCAGCCCCCGGCCCCCGCGCCCCAGCCTCTCCCTGCGCCCCGGCGTCCGCCCCGGGCCGGAGCAAAGTTGTGGACGTGTCCCGATAGCCGAGCCCGGGCGCTGTGGCGACCCGGCCGGCCGTGCGCGCTCTCGGGGCGGCGCTGCCCCGCCACCCCGCCGCCGCCAGCCACCCCCGCCGCCGGCCCCCTTTGCAAACTGCCTCCGGGGTTGAAACTTTGGGCGCTGGCGAGCGCGGGACGGAGGCCGAGGGGCTGAGGACGCCGCCCGGCCGGGGCCTGCGTGCGCCCCTCGGCGCCGCGGACGGCATGTGACGGCCGCAGCGCGGGAAGGCGCGGGCCCCGGGGACCCGGCCGCAGCGGGGAGGGACCGCGCGGCGCCGAGGGCAGGCTGCGGTGCGTGGCCGGCGGCTGCGGGCCCGGGCCCTGAGCCCTGTCGTCCGGCTCGCCCGGGCCCCGCCGAGGTCGCCGCGCCCCCGCCCCAGCGCGGGAGCGCCGGCTCCAAACTCCCAGAACTTCCGGGACAGTCCCCTCTTTTGCCCCCTGGAGCGGAGAAAACTCCGGCTGGCAGTCCTGCCCGGGGTCCCCCCCGTTCCGGGCGGCGCCCCCTGCTCTCACGTGCCTGGACCTCGAGGGCTTCGGGGGGATCCCAGGAGGGGCTGACGGTCCCCAAATCCGTGGCAGGCCACGATGCTCATGAGGAAAGTGCCAGCCTTCGTCCCGGCCTCGTCCTGGGGGCTGCGGCTGCCGCAGAAGTTCCTTTTCCTTCTCTTCCTCTCGGGGCTTATCACCCTGTGCTTCGGGGCCCTCTTCCTGCTGCCCCACTCCTCTCGCCTCAAGCGCCTCTTCCTGGCCTCCCGGACCCAGCAGCCTGGCCTGGAAGTGGTGGCCGAAGTTGCGGGCCACCACCCGGCCCATGAGCCAGAACCTCCACCCAACCCGGCCCCCGCGGTGCCTGCCCCAGGCGAGGACGATCCGGGCAGCCGGGGCAGTGCCCGCCGCAGGAAGGGATGGCTGCGGCGCACCCGTCCCACCGGACCCCGAGAGGAAGCCACGGCTGCCCGGGGCAACGGCATCGCGAACCCTAGGCCTGGAGAGGAGAGTGTCCCCTTCAGCTTTGATTTCAATCTTTTCCGGAGTCGCTTGCGCCACCCGGTCCTGGGGACTGGGGCCGATGAAAGTAAGGAGCCCCAAAGCCGAGTGCGAGCCCAGCGGGAGAAAATCAAGGAGGTAAGCACCCTGTCCCCCAAAGGAGAGACCTGTGATACCATGCATTGTCTTGACTCCAGTTCCCCCTGGCTTCTGGGCCACTCTGGGCTCCTAGACACACTCCATACGTCCCTCCCTCTCCCCAAACTTTCTGCCTTCTCTCTCCCTTCATGCTTCCCTACTAGGGGTTCAATTCATTGCCACTTCTCCCAAAGGAGAGCAGCTGAACTCCTGGACCACCTGTCCCCAACATTCAGATCTGTTTTCTGTAGCGTCTTCAGCCCAGTGGCTCTGGTGGAAGCTGCTAAGTGAGAGCAGAATTTACATTTCCCAATGGGCATCCTATGCCCATGCATTTGTAGAATTCTTTCGTCCTCTGTGTCTTTAAGTCTTGACTTTCTTCAAACCTCTGTAGGACCTTGGAAACCAAGACTTTGAGAGGTATTTGGTGTCCTGCAAATCATTTGCAATCTACAAACCAGAGATGTTGTGTGACCCTGCTAACTGTTTCTATTGAGCTTTGGAACAATTGTACATAATTGCTTGTGATGCAGGAAGGGAATGATCAATAAGGCAGTGGTAATGTTACAGAAGCACCGGGGTTATTGGCTTAATGAAGCAAGTCTTGGACTGCTTCCTTGTAGGGATTGTACCAGAGAGGAATTTAGAAGAATCTCGTTGAGACTCAATCTCAGTTTAACAAACCAAAACCAAACAAAGCCTTGCTGTGGCTTAAGACAGTTGCAAGTCACTCCTTGGTGCCTACACATTCTACTCCACCCCTGTCAGAATGGCCTGTGTGAAATGTGTGCCCAGCAATGCAGAGGGGCTGCAGTGACACCCCCGGGCCACGAGAGGGCTGTGGGCCAGCCCTGGGCCAGGGTCTCCTCTACAGCAAGGGAAGATTCCTCCTTCTCCTCCCCCCCCCCCCCCCCCCACCTTCGCCCCGTGGAGCACCAGAAGGAAAGAGCTGCTTCAATCTTGATGGTTTGGCTTGCTGGAGGGATCAGCATATCTGCCCTGATTTTGATTCTAGGGAGAACAGGCGGTAAAGGTTAGGACCTGCCCTGCCAAGACCTGCTCAGAGCCAGTTACAAGCTGGAACTGTCCAGTCTTCCCAGTGCATACCTCACTTCCATTTCTCTCTGCTCTGACCCAGCTATGCTGTCTTAACGAGCAATCATGGAACATTTTGTAAAGTTAAGGTAGGAAACCATACAGAAGCTGAGTCCTGTGTGTGTGTTGCATGTGCACATGTGAGCGCACATGATTCCGTAGTTATCAAGATCTCAAAGGTTAACTGAAGGCTAGACTTATTAGTAGTTAAGCAAGAGGCATCACTTCTCTCTTTTATGTTGAGGGGCCCTTGTTTATAGTCACCTGGACCACCTGCACCTTCTACTCTGAGGACTCCTAAGGAGGACCATAACTCCCACTGAAATTACATAGAAGTTGCATGTGTACTGCTTTTCAGAGGAAGTCAGAGCTGCCATCAGATTTTCTAATGGGTCCCCACAGGGATTAAAGGTGAACTACCATCCTCCACTGAAGAGGTGCATGTGGCCCATGTCTGAAAGCCTAAGGTTAGGAGCCACTGCTGGAGGGATAGCATGGCTAGTGGAAACTTGGTTCTCCTCCTGTGTAGAGCCAGCCTCTAGGCTGGCAGAGGCTGGGGGCCATGACTTGCTGTGGTAGTGGTGGTTGTGGGAGGTGTGAGGACTCAGTTCTGCAGGTGGGTGTAAAGACAGGAGGAGGAGGTCTGTGTTGGTTGCTGCTATCTGGATTCATCAGTGTGGCATCTCCTTGCAGCATGCTGGAAGTAGCTGGAGGCATGCTAGCTTTTATCTGCTGTAGGCATTTAGCAGCCCTCTTCTTCCCTGTTTTCTTTTTAATTTTCTTATTATTATAAAGATGTATTATAAAGGAGGGGTTACAGTTCCATAACCCTCCTCCCCTTTTGAAGATGTAAGCTCCTCAGAGTGGAGGGGCTAGTATTTATTTATTTGGTTTGAGGGTACTGGGGCTTTAGCTCAGGGACTGGGCACTGCCCCTTAGCTTTTTTTGCTTTCTTTTTTTTTTTTTTGGTCGGTCGTGGGGCTTGAACTCTGGGCCTGGGCGCTGTCCCTCAGCTCTTCAGCTCAAGGCGAGCACTCTCCCACTTGTGCTACAGCGCCACTTCCGGTTTTCTGGTGGTTTATTGGAGATAGGAGTCTCACGGTCTCTCCTGCCCGGGCTGGCTTTGAACCGCGATCCTCAGATCTCAGCCTCCTGAGTAGCTAGGATTACAGGCGTGAGCCACCAGCGCCCGGCTTCCCCTTAGCTTTTTTGCTCAGGCTGGCACTCTACTGCTTGAGCCACAGCTCCACTTATGGCTATTTGGTGATTAATTGGAGATAAGAGTCTCATGGACTTTTCTGCCTGGGCTGGCTTTGAACCACAATCCTCAGATCTCAGTCTCCTGAGTAGCTAAGATTATAGGTGTGAACCACCAGTTCTTAGCTGAGGGACTGGTTTATGTACACTATTAGGTTTGTGAAGCCTATTATCTCTCTCTCTTTTTTTTTTTTTTTTTTTTGGGTCCGGTCGTGGGGCCTGAACTCTGGGCCTGGGCACTGTCCCTCAGCTCAAGGCTAGCGCTCTACCACTTGAGCCACAGTGCCACTTCTGGCTTTTTTCTTTTTGCTTATGTGGTGCTGAGGAATCGAACCCAGGGCCTCAGGCATGCAAGGCAGGTGCTCTACCACTGAGCCACCTTCCCAGCCCAGAAGCCTATTATCTCTTAAGGCTTGACTTTGACCTCTTCCCATGCAACATGAAAAATGTGGGCAGGGTTTTTTGTTTTTTGTTTTTTTTTTTAGTCATGAGACCTGAACTCGGCCTGGGCACTGTCCCTGAGCTCTTCAGCTCAAGACTAGCACTCTACCACTTGAGCCACAGCACCACTTCTGGCTTTTTCTGTTTATGTGATGCTAAGGAATCGAACCCAGGATCTCATAGATGCAAGGCAAGCACTCTACCACTGAGCCACCTTCCCAGCCCAGGGTTTTTGACTTAAGTGTTCACTCTCTGTGAGAGTAACTCAGTGCTCCTGAGGAGCATTGCATAGGACTGCTGCTGGGGGTCTTTATTACTCATTTACATTTCTCCCTCTGCCATGCCTACAGGGAGATCTTTTTAAAGGTGTCTGTTGTCACAAAAGGGACTCTGGCTTTGGTTTCTAGTTTGTTTATCCCCAGACTTGGATTGATTAGACCTCAGAGCAGGGAAGGAGCTAAGATCTGATAAAACAGTCCCTGTTCTTTTATGCTGAGGTTTTTAAAAAGGAAAGTAAATACTGGAAACAGAGCCAGAGAAGGTGATAGAGTGAATGGGACACCCAAACTCAAGTGTCCTTAAGAACATGCTAGTTTGAGAGATAGACAGGGGCCCAAGACCTATGCTGATAAGATGGGGTGAAACTGTAGGTTCTGGGTATAAAACATCAGGAAACATTTTGTCACAGAACCAATTATTTTCTCTTACCCCTCCCACTAATTCTGAGCCTTAGAGAAAGCAATGTAGTAGAGAGGGACCCAGAGAACATGGGTTGAAGCCTCAGCTCAGCTGTTAACTGTCTGACTTTGGTCAAGTCACTGCCTTTCCTTCCTGGACCTTCCTGTAGAATGGGGTAAAGGAAAGAGTAGTAGGTTGGTCATGGGCACTTTGGGTTCCAGCTCCTACCCTGTGGTAGCTGCCAGCCTGCCGAGGGATTCCTTTGTAGTTGGACTTCCAGTGCTTTCCACATATCTAAGTCCCAGGAAATGAAGGACAGTAATGTGGTGGTGACATTGAGAGCAGTGGTGGTCACTGTTGGTGTCTAGATTCTACCCACAATCAGCATTCATGTTTACTAACTTCATTCTTGTGAGCATCCATGTCAACTGTGGACATGAGGCTGAATGGCCTTAGCTTGGGATCATGAAGGCTCAAGGTGTACACTAGAATGTACAATGGCTTGTCAACAGCCATTTTACATCTGAGGATCATATAGGGAGTGAGGGTCTCATTTCTAGGTGGATTACTTATGGATTCAAGTTCAGACCTTTCCACCCATGACAAGAATTAGGCATGCATTGCGTCTTGATTAACAAATTCACACCTGTTTTTCTGGGGGTGGGGGGGCAGTCATGGGGGTTGAACTCTGGGTGCGCTGTTCCTGAGCTCTTCAGCTAAAGGCAAGTGCTCTACCACTTGAGCCACAGCTCCACTTCCTATTTTCTGTTGCTTTATTAGAGATAAGAGTCTCACGGACTTTCCTGCCTGGGCTGGCTTTGAACTGTGATCTTCAGATCTCAGCCTCCTGAATAGCTAGGATTACAGGTGTGAGCCAACGACGCCCAGCTACTTTTTTTTTTTTTTTTTTTTGGCCAATCCTGGGGCTTGAATTCAGGGCCTGGGCATTGTCCCTGAACTTCTTTTGCTCAAGGCTAGCACTCTACCACTTAAGTCATAGTGCCACTTCTGGCATTTTCTGTTTATATGGTACTGAGGAATCGAACCCAGGGTTTCATGACAAGCCCTCTACGACTAAGCCATATTCCCAGCCCCTACTTCAGCAGTTGTGGAGCTGGAACTCAGGACCTGGGTGCTGTTCCAGAGCTTTTTTTGCTCATGATTACTGCTCTGCCACCGTGAGCCACAGTGCCACTACCCATTCCCTAGTAGATAACTGGAGATAAAAATCTCTTGCCCTGGCTGGCTTCTACCAGTAATTCTCAGATCTCAGCCTCCTGAGTATCTAGGATTACAGGTGTGAGCCACCAGCACCCAGCTAAATTCACACTTTTCTAGATGGTTGATGGCTGATCTGGGGAGCCTTCATTGTCCTTCCCAGTGAAGGGGCCTTTTATGAAGGGCAACTGGCTATCTGGGCCAATGAGTGGGGGATACTGGAGTTGGTGTAGCCCCTGTAGTGCTTTCTGACAAACTACATCAAGGGCCATTTCCTCTCATCAGGTGCAACCCCACCTTGCTGGGCTGGG